TTAAAAACCCAGCCCCTTCATTGGCTCCTGACTTTGCCCCCATGTGCAGCTATTTGCACACACGACACACGTCGCAGGCAATTGGTGAGGAAATCTGCATCTCATTACCTCGCTCTCCTGCCCCTGCCTAATTTGCATGCGCCTCCATAGTAGTCTTGGGACAGTAGCTAATTAGCATATTTGCATACACGCCGAAGCGACTAATGAACTAATTTACATATTATTAATTCCTGCATACTAATTACACTTGGGCGGTCCCGCCCACTTCCAGCCATTAAGGGTTTATAGGTTGAATAATTGTGCATGTAATTAGCCCGCCCCAATGAATAATCAATGACGCCGCTCCGGGTGACGCACCCCCTCTCCCGTCTGAGGGGACGCCTGCCCCGCGCCGCCGCCTGCAGTGCGCATGCGCTCCTCCGCCGGGCGGGCAAGGGCGCGCGCCCAGAGCTCCAATGCGCATGTGCTGTTGGAGCTAGCTGCAAAGGGCCCGGCGCGAGGGTGCAGAGCAGTTAACGGTCGTTCTGTTGTGAGCATTCCAGTGAGCCCGCGTTCGCGCCGGACCTTCTGATTGGCTGCGGCGGCGAGCCAATTGCGATCCGCGGAACGGCCGTGTTGCTGGGCAGGGCAGAAGGAAGACGGGGTGAAAGGGAGATTCTGGTTGGCTGTGGGCGAAGGGCACTAGACGCAAGATGAGAAATCGCTGAAATATCTAAGTTACAGTGATATAATTAACGGGGGGGCATGGACTGGGGCGGGGCCTGGCCTTGGGGGAGGAGCCACGTGCTGGGGGCGGGGCCTGGCCAATGAGGGCGGGGCCATGTGTTCAGGAAGGTCTGGCCAGTGGGGGAGAAGGCTTTCTAATTAGACAAAAATTTCTGCACTGTGATTGGTTGGCCCTATTGACCAATCCGAGAGCAGTCAATGTTTTATTCCCCGTTGTACCTCATACCCCTGGTCTCTGATTGGCTGGGGGCCAATCACAGCACGGCATGTTTTGGGCAGACCCATGCTCCTGAGTGCTGATTGGCTACAAGCTCTTGACCCATCGTTCCAGAGAGAATACCCTCCGCCTCCCCCCCCGGGCTCTCTCTGCTTTCGGATTGGCTGAGGGCTCTTATCCATTTGGAGATCAGAGGATTCATCTCAGGGCCATATGCGCAATCCCTGTGTTCTGATTGGCTGGGCAGTCAGCCAATTGGCGAATAAGGATTACATTTTGTATCCTCACGCCTCGGGCTGGCGGCCACTGGCCAATCAGAGCAAAGGAGATGTCAGCGTGGCAGGCTGCACTCTTTGCTCTGACTGGCTGTATGTTAACGGACAGTCATGACGTAGGGGTGATTGCCACGCCTCTGTGGTCTCTATGGTTACCAGCAGCCAGCCAGTGAGATGTCGTGCCTAGGCCCAAGGGGCTGATGGGCCTCTGCGGCCACTGCCAATGGACTGGGGCCTTCCCACGTGCTCGCTTCTGGCGGGCTGAGGCTATTTCCGATCGGATGCGGTCATTTCCGGTAACACTGCAGCTCCCCCGCCCCTGCAGTGCGTTTCTTTCCCATGTACAGGGCTAACTTCCGGTGCAAAGTTGCAATGGCGACTTCTCATGTCGTCACTTCCGGAAGCCCCTCCGTCAGAGTCCTTTAGTCCCTCGTGTGGCCCCGTAGCGCCGGCGGGGCGGGGCGGGGCCAGGCCGCCTGCGCCGTCGCTTATGGCAACAGAGGGACGCGCGCGAGCAGGGCGGGGTATCGCGGGACGTCGGGGCAGCGGCGGCGAGCGGGTGAGCGGCGTGTTCGGGGGAATCATAAATATTCATGAACTGGGTTTGGGGCTAATCAATATTCATGAGATGTGAATATCAACGAGGGCGATCGTGACCCAATCAATATGCATGCTATTTCAATAATAAGGGGCGTGTCCTTTGAATAATTTGCATATCTTGAATGTCAATTGGGGTGGGGCAAACTCAGCCTAATTAATATGCACGTTAGTTATTATTAATGAAGGAGGTGGGCCCCCCACTGCAATGAATATTCATGAGGAGCTGGTCTCTACCAATCATGGGTTGGGCCTGAGGGTCATTAATATCAATTAAGCAGATGACTATGCACTGTCATGCGGTATAAGCATTTGCATGTTAATGAGGGTGTCAGGCCCAGCCTCCAGCATGGCCTCGCTCTCAGGTGCTGAAGCCCCGCCCCCGAGGGACGGCTCTGGGTTGGACCGTGGTCAGTAGGTTTCAGAGTGAACCATGTAGCTGGGGGCAGCAACCTGCTCCTCTGGGACCTGCTCCCTGCCCAGGGTGGGTAGGTTTGGGGCTGGGGTGGATTGGTGGGGGCAGTAGGTTTGGGGATAGAGGTGAGGTTCAGTGGGGCAGCTTAGGGGGCTCAGTCCTTGCTGGGGTGGCTCTGATCTGTCTGTCTGTCTGTCTGAGATGTGGGATCTGGCATCCATGTGGCACCCTAGGGGCAAGCAGAGACCCCAACCCCTCTGAGGATCCCCCAATCCAGGAATGGCTGTAAGTCTCCCCTCCCCCGCTGCCTCCCCCTCCTTGTGTCTCTCCCCAGGCTCTCTGACCTGGTCCCCCTCTCCTGTCTCTCCCTGTTGTAGACCCCCACGCCGGGCCCCCCCAGCTCCCTCCTTCTGCCCCTCCCAGCCATTGTCTTCATCACTGTGGCCACCTACCTGCTCCTCCTCCTCCTCATCCTCGCGCTGCGCCACTGCCTGCTGGTAAGGGGGCACAGATAGGGGGGCAGGGGTCTATACTGGGGGGCAGTGGGGAGGGATATGGTGGAGGGGTAGGCAGGGTGGATATGGGGGGGATATTCAGGGGGTCACAGGTGGGGCAGGCCTAGGGGGTCAGAGCAGGGCTGGGCAGGTCAGCTGTGGGGAGGGGTGAGTTGGTCCTTCCATCTCTCACCCTCCCTCCCCCCCCCAGGCCCATGGACTCTGCGCTGACTGTTGCTGGTGTGAGAAGGGAATGCTGGGGGGGCCCTGCCACTGCTGCCTGGCCTGCGCCGAGGCGTGCGACTGTGCCCCTCCCTCCCTCATCCGCTGCCTGGACACCTGTTGTCCCCGACGCCAGGTGAGTGACCCCCAAACCCTTTGGGGTACTGGCCCCTTTACATATCCTGGGGCTGGCAGTCCTGTAGATAAATGTCCCTGTGGTGGTTAGTCAGGGTTTACAACCCCCTAGTAAATAACCTGGGAGCATCATCCTGCAGATTAACACGGCCATTAAATATCTTGTGGCGGGTAGTCCTGTGGGCTACCAGCCACTGCTTAACATTAGCCTGCAGGACTACCTGCCACATAACAGTCACTGTTTAATATCATGGAGCGAGTAGTCCTGCAGGTTAACAGCCCCATTTCTCTCTCTCTCTGCAGGGCTGGGAGCTCAGCACCTGCCCCCCTTTTCCTCGTTGCTGCCCCCTCTGTGACTGTGCCTGTGCCTACCAGCCCCCTGATTGTCAGAGCATCAATTGCATCTGCTTTGAGGTCAAACTGCTCTGAGGGGAGCCCCGCCAAGAAAATCAGGGGACTTCCCCATTAGAGACTCTGACTGGCATGTACTCACTAATGCTGGATTGTGGGGATCCCCTGCTCCCCAAGTGGGGTGATCCCTTCCTCATTTTGTTACACGACCCCCAATATTTGTAACTCCAACTTTTATAATAAAGCAGCTTTGAGATACCTCGCCTTGTCTGTCTGCTTTTGGGTGTTGGTGGATCAGAACTGGTGCATCCATGAAAACGTTCCGGCCATCAGATTTTCCGGACTGTCTACTGCATTCAGGCCAAATCAGGGAGACATTAGCCATCACGGCTATGCTTGGTCCAGTAACCGCTCCCCCTCAACTAGCCCTGGAGCCCCTCTGTGACGGGTTGGATCACAGAACCCCCCTTGGGAGCTGCCACCCAATGTGCCAAGACTACTTCTGCCCCTGCTTTCCTGCCCCGTCAGCTTAGGACTTCAGTGCCCTGCCTGGTTTGAGCCAGACCCGCTAGCCTGCTGCAAACCCAGACCCAGGTCTGAACCACGTCCCCTAACAGCTGTAGGCTTGACTGAAAGCAGCTTACAGAAGTGTTCCTGTCTCTAACACTCAGATGCCTAACTCCCAATGGGGTCTAAACCCAAATAAATCCATAAACTCATAAATTGTTCGCCCTCTATAACACTGATAGAGAGATATGCACAGTTGTTTGCCCCCCAAGGTATTAACACCTACTCTGTGTTAATTAATAAGTAAAAAGTGATTTTATTAAATATAGAAAGTAGGATTTAAGTGGTTCCAAGTAGTAACAGACAGAACAAAGTAAGTCACCAAGCAAAATAAAATAAAATGCGCAAATCTATGTCTAATCAAACTGAATACAGATAATCTCACTAGTTCCAGAATGCTCCTTTTACAGACTAGTCTCCTTTTAGCCTGGGTCCAGCAATCACTCACACCCCCTGTAGTTATTGTCCTTTGTTCCAGTTTCTTTCAGGTATCTTTGGGGGTGGAGAGGCTCTCTCTTTAGCCAGCTGAAGACAAAATGGAAGGGTCTCCTCTGGGCTTAAATAGACTTTCTCTTGTGGGTGGAGACCCCCTCCTCACTCCTATGCAAAGTCCAGCTACCAAATGGAGTTCTGGAGTCACCTGGGCAAGTCACATGTCCATGCATGACTCAGTTCCTTACCAGCCAAGCCACATTCCTGGGAAAATCCAGATGTGGATTGGTGTCTTCAAGTTCATTGTTGGCTTAAGTGTTTCTTGATTGGGCACTTACTGAGAATAGTCTTTTCTCAGGGAGCTGACCAACTGCTTCACTACAGCCTACTTAGAATCAAAGAAGTATGCTGCCAATATTTATAACTTCGAATACAAAAATAATACATGCATACAAATAGGATTAATAGATTCAGTAGATATGTTACATGGCATATGTAGCATAAAACACATTCTAGTTATGTTCTATATATACACCCATAAGGCTTTATAGAAATATGCTTATGGGTGGCAACATCACACCCTCAATTGGGGGTCCCTGCCCACCAGCTCCACAACCCCACTATCCCTGTTTTGGGGTGTCTACGCCTGCAGTGCTCAGCTGAGAAGCAAGGGACAGCGTTCCCAGTCTAGATAAGGCAGCTGAAATGAAACCTCACACTGCTGTTAACTCCAAATCTTACTGATGACACTGTCCAGCTCCAGGCTGAGGCAGCCCGTTTGTGGGAGAAAATGATAGGAGGTGATGGGGATGAGTGCCCACTGCATTCCAGGGCAGAACTGTCCTGAAACAGTAGCTCATATCTTGTTAACTCTGAACCCTACTGCTGACCTCCATTAAGAGCAGATCTTTTAGAAAAACACCCCATCTTGATTTAAAAAATTGCCAGGGCTGGAGAATCCACCACGACCCTTGGGGAGTTGTTCCAGTGGTTAAGTCCCCTCACTGTTACAAATTCATTCCAGTCTGAATTTGTCTAACTTCAGCTGCCAGCCACTCGATGGTGCTAGGCCTTTCTCTCCTGGATTGAAGAGCCTGTTATTAAATCTCTGTTCCCCATGTAGGTACTTATAGACTGGGATCAAGTCAACCCTTCACCTTCTCTTTCTTAAGCTAAATAGCTGGAGCTCCTTGACACTACCTGTAAGGAGGTGGTTTGATCCTTTAATCATTCTCGCGGCTCTTCTCTGAGCCCTCCCCAACTGAGCAACATCCTCCTTGAATGGTGGGCACCAGAACTGGACACAGGATTCCAGCAGCAGCCGCACCAGGGCCACAGACCAAGGGAAAAATCACCTCTCTGCTCCTGCTCAAGATTCCCTTGTTTCTTAAAGCTGCAGCGTGTGTGTCATTGCTTTATTCCTAGTGTGACTATTATCACTGCGTTATTGTGTATTAATTTTATTCGTAGTAGTTTGGGGTTTATTATTTCATTCACTTTGCATTTATAACAGTTGGTTTATTCTGAATTTGTTTTATTTTGATATTACCGATTGATATTGGAGTGTATTAGTCTGTTCAGTCTGTAGCCAATTCATTATTTATTAGTACTGAGGATTTATTGTGTCATTGCCAATTTCCTTTTTGAATCTCAGAAGCTAGAGTCATTAAAGAATTGGCCGAACCACCCCCATAATTTCCTGCAACTGAAAATTTAAATTAATAAAAATTGAAAAAATGCTTAAAAATGAACATTAGTATTATCCATCCAAATGATAAATCTAAGTCTACCAAGGTTGGGGATAGTATATTTTTTTATATGTGCTGTTTTATTCCTACTCAACTTTTTATAAGTGTTTTGGTAGATATCTTTATTTTTATTGTATTCCTAATTTACCTTTTCTTTTAGTCACTGTGTAGTTACTGAGTTGAGTTTTTAGCAGAGGTTCCTTGTTGGATTTCGAATGGCAATCACAGTCCCGTTCGATGATGGATTTGATTAGTAAAGTGCTTATCGGTGATCGAGTTGTTTCTAATCCATTAGGGGGTTTATTGGCATCGTTCATTCCAACAGAGTTGAATCTAAATCTAGGCATAAAAATCAACTATTACTATTACAACATAATCCAGTCCGGGCTCTGGCAGGAACTGGAGAGATCCCCCCACTCCCCTCCCAGAGCCAGGGAGGGAACCCAGGCGTCCGGGCTCCCAGCCCCCCTGCTCTATCCCACCAGCCCCCACTCCCCTCCCAGAGCCAGGGAGGGAACCCAGGCGTCCGGGCTCCCAGCCCCGCCCTCCCCAGGAGAGAACCCAGGCGTCCTGCCCACCCCCAAGATGGCCGCCGGCCCCTCCTGCCAGCCCCCGCCATGGCGGCCGCCGGGGCCGGGCGCGTCACTTCCCCTCGCCATGTTGCCGCGGTGACCGGGCTGGGGCTGGAGGAGGCGGATTGGGGGGAGGGGCAGCGGCCGGTGCCAGCGGGGCCAAGCCCCGGCGGAGGCGGGGTGCGCTGGGGGAGGGGCCAGGGTTTGGGGGTGCACAGGCGGGAGGGGCTGCATTGGGGAGGGATTTGGGGTGCGCAGGGGGAGGGGCGCGCAGGGGGAGGGGCAGGGTTTGGGGGTGCTTGGCACTGGTGGGCTGCATTGGGGGAGGGGGCAGGGTTTGGGGGTGCTTGGCACTGGTGGGCTGCACTAGGGAGGGATTTGGGGTGCGCAGGGGGAGGGGGCAGGGTTTGGGGGTGCTCGGCACGGGTGGGCTGCACTGGGGAGGGATTTGGGGTACACAGGACTTGGGGGGACTGCAGAGGGGCAGCAGGCGCCTGGGAAGGCATTGAGAAGGTGCTCCAGAATTTAGGGGTGCAGAGGAAGGGGTGCTGGGGAGGGATTTTAGGGGCGCACAGGAGCAGTTCATTGGAGAACAGGGGCTCCTAGGGCAGAATTTGGGGATGCCCTGGGGTTGGCATTATGTGGGGGGTCTGCATTGGGGTGGGGCATAATTTAGGGGTGCTCCTCTGGTGGCTGCATTTGGGGGAAGGGCTCTAGGGAGCAGCAGAATAATTTGAGGGGTGCTGCTTGCCAACGAAGCGAGAGGGTTTGGGAGGGAGAAGGGGGGTGCCTGGTAATTTGGAGGGCCTGTTTCCTTGCAGGGGAATTCAGGGGGCCCTGTTAATTTGGGGGCTATATGCCCAGGAGATTTGGGGGACTGGGGGGGTTCCCCTTAAATATGAGGGCTCACCTGTGGATTTGAGGGGGCTGCATTGGAATTGGGGGGTGCCCCTAAAGGGAGAGTCCCCACTACCCCCCCAGAGCCATGTCGTCTTTCGGGGACTCCAACGAGTGGTACATGGGGTCGCTGAGCCGCCAGCAGGCTGTGGCCTGTCTCCAGGGTCACCGACCCGGCACCTTCCTGGTGAGGGACAGCTCCACCTGCCCTGGTGACTACGTCCTCTCGGTCAGCGAGAACGCCAAGGTGAGGGGGACCCCGGCGGCCAGGGGCTGGGGAGGGAGGGGGAACCGGCCCCGCAGCCACTGGGGGGGAAGGCATCTGGGGATGACAGGAGAGGAAGGGACAAAATGGGGGGCAGGAGGGGCATTACCTGGGGGAGCCCATGGGTTTGGGGGGAGAAAATCACCCTAGATCCAGGAAGAACCCAGGAGTCCGGGGGGAGAAGATCGGGGGGGGGCTGGTGAATGTTCAATGTGTAACCCTGTCTGTCTGTCCCTGTCTCCACCCCCATCTCTCTCTGGCCCCCCACCCAGGTGTCTCACTACATCATTAACAGCCTGCCGGGCCGGCTGAAGATTGGGGATCAGGAGTTCGAGGGACTCCCAGCGCTGCTGGATTTCTACCGGGTGCATTATCTGGACACCACCACGCTGGTGGTGCCCGTGTGCCGGGGCCCCGCGGTGCCCGGCCCGGCCCCGCCACCCCCCGCCGAGGGGGGAGGGGACCCGGTGGCGCTGTCTGCCGGCCCCGCCCAGCCCTGCGAGTGGGTGCAGGCTCTCTACGACTTCTGCGGCAATGACCAGGAGGACCTGCCCTTCCGCAAGGGGGATCCGCTCCGGGTGCTGGGCAAGCCGGAGGAGCAGTGGTGGACGGCCCAGCGGGTCGACGGGCGGGTGGGCATGATCCCGGTGCCCTATGTCCAGCCCTGGCGCCCCCAGGCCGGCGTCCTGCTGGGGCCCTATGCCCACCCCAGTGTAGGCGGCCCCCCGGCGCCCCTGCCCACCCCCCGCAATGGCCCCGTGGTGGCCAGGGCAGTACAGCGGCGGGTACCCAATGCCTACGACAAGACGGCGCTGGCTTTCGAGGTGAGTGTGTGGGGGACCCAGAAGTCTGGGGGTGACAGGACCTGGATTCCAGGGGACCCAAGTATATGAGGGAATCCGCCCTCAGGATCCTGAGGGGTCCAGATATTCTGGGGGAATGGATCCCAGGGACCCCAGCGTCCAGCTGGAGGGCGGGCAGAATTAGTCCCTGATTCGGTGGGATCAAGGCAAAGAGGGAGAATTGACCCTGCACCCTAGGGGACCCAGGTGTCTGGGAGCATTGGGGGCAGGGGGGAAATTAGTCCTTGATTCTGGGGACCCAGGTGTTGGGAGACAGGGGCAGTAGGGGCAACTAGGCCTGCTCCGGAGAGAAATCTGACTCAGTGACCTTTGCCCTCTGACCCCCAGGTGGGTGACATCATCACGGTGACGAAGATGAACATCAACGGGCAGTGGGAGGGGCAGCTGAACGGGCGCAGCGGGCACTTCCCCTTCACCCACGTCCAGATCCTTGAACCCCAGAGCCCGAAGGAGGCCAGCTGAGCCCCGCGACCCCTGAACTTCGACCTTGGGCAGTAGGCTGAGCCCCACGACCCTTGAACTGTGACCCCAGGGCAGCCAGCTGAGCCCCGCGATCCCTGAACTCTGACCCCAGGGTGGCTGACTGAGCCCTGTGACCCCTGAACTCCAACCTGGGGCAGTCGACTGAGCCCCATGACCCCTGAAATCTGACCCCAGGGTGGCCGGCTGCGACCCCCTGGTCACCCGAACCTTGGACGGTTGCAATTTGACCCTTCTGTTGATGAACTTTGACCCTTTGTTGGCTCCCTGAACTTTGACCTTTTGATTTGTTGTGGGTTGGCCACTTGGTTACAGAGTGTTGAACTTTGACCCTTGGCCCCTTGCCTGTGTACTTCAGCCTTTGGCTCATTGACCTTTGAGCCTTGGCTACTTGAAGAAGACTGTGTTTCATTCGCCTTTGAACCTCACTACATTGAATGTGTGACCTTTGAACTCGTAGCCTCTGACCTTTGAGCCCCCTGGTTGTTGGCCCTTGGGCCTCCTCTGGCTCTTTGACCCCTTGACTTTAACCACTATTACTTCCGGGTCGTGACCCCCAACACACACCCATGGTGTATTTCATGCAGATGCTGTTAACACATGAATTAATTTGGGGGTGGGGGGATCCTGGTTCTGATTGGACGACCGAGGTCTGGATCCAGGTCCGAATGGCCCTTCCCCGTCTCTGAGGTCTGAACGCCCCCACGTGTGTGATGCGCCCTGTGTTCCTGCTACATTAAAGCTCCTGGTGATGACTTTGCCTGAACTCAGCTCCTTGGGGGGTGGGGGTGGGGGGGAGCGAGAGCATCGCCATGGTATCCCATATCTTGGCCATGGGCCAGCTGGGGTCTAGAGCATCACCAGGGTAACTTGGATCCCAGGCTGGGGTCTAGAGCGTCACCATGGTAACTTGGATCCCAGCCTGGGGGGCTAGCTGGGGTCTAGAGCAGTGGTTCTTAACCTGGGGTGCACGCACCCCCTGGCAGTGTGAGACATGCCAGATTTTTTTAGAAGGTAAATCATTGAAAACACAAATTAAGCACAGGCACGTAAGCACAATTCCTTTGTTTCATCAAACCTATGTATTTATTAACATTATACATTTTTAATGATTACTGCGTTACATTTTAACTGTGAAATTAAAATCAATATTTCGTTCTCTCTCTTTCATTCTGTAGTTAGGATATATGTAGGTTTAAAGGACTGACCTACTTCAACGATTTTTGATAAGAGGTGTGAGAACATATTTTTGAGAACCAGGCTGCAGTAAAGATTAAGAACCACTGGTCTAGAGCATCACCATGGTAACTTGGATCCCAGCCTGGGGGGGCCAGCTGGGGTCTAGAAGGTTTCCATGGAGACCCAGCTGGGGCCTGCCCTGAGGCTCATTTGTGTGGGGGTGACCCCAGGTTCTGACCCCCAACCATGGGGAGGGGATGGGGGTCAGGAGGAGGGGGCTGAGTGGGGGTTGGGGGAACATGGAGAGGAGGGGGGATTTCACTCCCAGCCCCACCGGCTCCCCCTCCCCCTTCTCATCCCCCCATCACTGGACTTTGAATCCACATTTCCAGGGTCCCAGTCCCCAGCCAGGTGGCTCCTGCCTTTATTGGGGGGGGGGACCCCAACCACCCATCTGTTTCCCAGGAGCCAGTGCTGAGGGGGGTGTGGACCAGCCCTGGGGCCAGCAGGGGGCACCAGGAGCTGTGGATTGCGGGGGCAAAGACAAGGTCCAGATGCCTCCCCAAAGGAGGGAAAGGGGGAGAAGGGGGGGTCTGGGTTTGGGGGGTACACAGAGGACTCAGACATTGGGGGGCTGCAGGGGGCTTTGAGGGGTTCAGGGTCTGGAGGATCAGTGTTGGGAGTGTCTGGGGGGCTGCAAGAGGTGTGGGGGCTGGCTGCTGGGCCCCCACCCCATGACTCAGCGTCTTGCCCTACTATGAGTGCCTGGGCGTTTCACATTCCCAGGCTGGGGTATTTTTAGCGGCCCCAGCAAAAGGCCAGGGGTCAGGGAAAAGGTTACCCCGCCCCTCCCGCCCCTCCCGCCCCTCAGCCCGTTATAGCCCCACGGTCCCTTGGCACCCCAGTCACCCAGCGCCGCCCGGAGCTGCCCTGTGCCACCAGAGACCCCCGCCAGACTCCCGCTTCCGGTGAGAGCAAGGGGCTGTTGGGGGGGGGGGGGGGGGGG